CCCGCCGCCGCTGTGGCCTGAGGGAGCCGGGCCCGGCTGCTGTGTGAGGGGTGGCGGGTCACACCCGGCCCAGTGGGGAGCACCGCGGGCTGAGGGGGACGCTGTGGGGGACCCCATGGGAGAACGGCCCTGGCACCCTGAAGGAGGCGAGGCAGGTGGTATTTTTGTCCGTTTCTGAGGGAAACGGTTATTGGGCTTACGAGCATCTAGTTTTGGAGCCACAGAGATCTTTCGTACATCTCATTTCCATAAGCAGATTGCTTCTCTCACCAGTTACCAAGATAAACCAGGGTGAGATAGCTGTCACCACTAGCAGGGTTCCCGCAATCGTGTCCCAATTTTCTGTCTGAAGGGGCTTTCCTCTCTACTTGCAAAGATCCTCATTGCAGGAACAGTTGACTTTCTACCTGCTTAGGCCTTCAGTCACCCTCTCAGGAACTGAGCCCTCCCCGTGTTGACTGTTCAACAACTGCGGTCCCGCTGTAGCAACAACCACCCTTCAGGTGCTTGTAGGCACTTGTATCTCCCTGCTTCTAATCTCTATTTTTTTTTTTTATGGCATTTTGCAAAGCTTTACCATTTGTATTTAGCTGTTACTCTTTCGTAAAACGTCAGTTCTTTTACCATTAGCAAATATAAATAATCATAAATACTCTCTATAAGCAAATGAAGGTAAATTATGTGCATAAACTTCTAGCTGGAGCGCCCAGTATTTAGAAATAAAAGCTGTCTGAGGAAAAGGCTGCCTTGAACAGATGTGTTCTCCCCTTATGTATCTGCCTATGATTTCATGTGCTGACTAGCATCTGCTCAAATGATCCAAATGACTAAACCAAGGAACTAATCAAAGTCTGAGGTACATTCAAATCAATAAAATTGGGCACAACCAAAACCTGAAGACTGGCGGTGGTGATGGTGGGGCCCTTCAGAACCAGAGACAGCGTAACGTCCCCATCTCTGGCGCAGCTGAGAAGGGGTTATGGAAGAACCTTCCAATGCCACATGGTTCACAACTGGCGGGGCTTCCAGCAGGGATGAGATAGCAGCAGCACAGTGGTTTTAAGTCACCTAACCAGAAAAAAAAGCACTAGATTATTAAATGATTGTACGCATACCAACATTGCCTCAGATGGCCAAATTGCTAGTTACTGGAAAACTTTAATTACAGAGGTACAAAGTGGGTGACATAAAGATTAGGGCAATGATTGGCAATCCATATGCAGATGTGGTACAAAATGTCTTTTCTGTGCAATATAAAGAAAAAAAGAAAGGATACATTTAGGAGATTTAGCAAGCAAGAAAGAAGAGTAAACAGAAGAGAAGATGTAAAACTAATGGGGATATTGGGAAATACCAGTAACAAAGATGATTAGTTGGGGATGTAATGAAAGCTCAACTTGAGCAGAACTACTTATGTTTTTACCGTTACTGACCATTGTGGACAAAGTGTACTCCACAGAAAGAAACAGCCTTTTCTATGCAACAGAGTGACAGGAAAACTGCTCTGTTTCACTACTTGCCATGGAATAGGATACGTTATATCTAGATCTGTGCAAGCACCGAACAAAACGAAGCAAGCAGGCACTGAGGACTACATTACAGACCCTGCATTCCCAACGTGCAGGAGCTGGGAATTTCCTGGGTGACAAAGCTGAAACAACTCTTCCTGATACACGGACCAGCCAGAAAAGCTGAGAAAAGCACCTGAGCGCGGTGCTGGAGCTGCTGGTTTCAGTCTCACACTACAAGAGGAGCTGTAATTTAACTCCAGCCTTGCCACGCAGGCAGGTTTCACACACAGTAGCCGAAATTGCCCGGCTGTCAGGACACCACATTGTTTCTGAACAGGAGTGGCACGTGCACCTATGAGTTACCGACTTGTACTGGCTATGCTTTTCCAAAGCTGCTCCCCAATTCCTTCACTTTATTTTGACCACCAGTGGCTGACCCCACATGCTGCACGTCAGGTAAGGTAACCCAACCAAACCAGAGCTAATGATACACTGACTGGGTTTCTACATTTTCCAACCCAAATACCATTTGTTGGCATGTATTCTTAGCTTAGCATTCACCCAGAAAATGTTTATTTCATGGCTCATGAAGGACTATGCCAACTAGTTGGGGTTTTTTTGGTGTTTTTTTTTCATTTTGTTTTGTTCTGTTTTTTATAGAAGACATGTTGATTGGTCCCCCATTAAAAAAAAATCTCAGCCAACATTGGTGTTTCTGCCTCTGGTGTTTTCATCACAGAAATTTGATCGGTTATATGGGCCAAGGATCCTATTTTTTTTCAAACCAAGTACACATGAGATAATACACCATTTTCCAAGTTCATCTTTTTTTAAATCTTTTTTCATCTTTCTTTTAATCTTTCTTTCATCTTTCTTTTCTTTAGCAAAGACACTTTTAACCTCAAAAAGCCTTTACATTTTTAAGGGGTCCTTCTACCCCCGAGGCCAAGCAGAGCAGGGTCAGAAGCTCCCGTTACCGTACGGGCAGCACAGGCTGGGGAATACGCGCTCACCGCAGCCCCGGGGCCGCCCCCGCAGCCCCGGCGCTGCCTCGGGAGTTCGGTGCTCCCGACACTAACGGACTTTGATAAATGCACAGCGGTTGGAACACGGGTTTTATTTCCTTTTGGGTTTTTTGAGGGTTTTTTTTTTGAGTAGGGCACTTCGAAACAGGCACGTGCAGCGCTTCGCCCCCCGCACTGCCCCCT